CACCTTTCTTCTTCCTAAATATTGCATTCAAACAAATAAAAGAAAATTGAATCTTCAGGTGAGAGAGAGAGGGTGTAAGAAAGAAAATTAGCTGCAATTTAGTTTCCTCTTGGATATACCTGAAAATAGTGTTGCGGAGTTCAAAGGCAGCAAAGGAATAAGGGTCTGCAGCCCCTTTGACTCTGGCAGCACTATTGAAAGAAACAAAAGAATCCATACCTTTGGGGTACTTTCACTGAGACTGTAAAATTCCTCATTCACAGAATTTCATAGTGTCTTTTCTTTCATTTCTAATTATCCCACCACTTCTCCCATTTCTACTTTCCACCACAAGCCATGATAGAGAAAAAGAAAGAGCAATGGCCTAGTGTATTTTGATTGACAGGAGCCCATCATTGAAAGGCATTCCATTTGTAAGGCACTGGCTGCCTTTCTGGTTTGAGATTTTTCCCCCCTAAAGAATAATCTAATCTGCTATTTTAGATTGTGCTTTTATAAAACCTACAGGTCAAATTAAATCCGGAATTCACATCACATTCTTATTTAATTATTCATGATCACTTCAATAGATTAATTAGGGGCAGAATTAGTATGACTTTGAAGAAAATTTAGTAACTTTCTTTGCTCTCATGTAAGTTGATTTGTATACTTGAGAGCAAGTTGCAAACGGATAATGATGAATTGGATAGCAAATGCTATTTTAAAAGAAAGAATTCTTGGTTAGAGCTAATAATAGATTTCTGGCACTGTATTTATCTGAGAATACAGAACAATAGAGTTGGGATCTTGGAGGTCTTCTAATCCAACCCCCTGCTCAAGCAGGAGACTCTATACCATTTCAGGCAAGTGGTTGTTCAGTCTGTTCTAAAAGCCTCCAGTGATGAAGCACGCACAACGTCTGAAGGCAAACTGTTCCACTGATTAATTGTTCTCACTGTTAGGAAGTTTCTCCTTAGTTCTAGGTTGGTTCTCTGCTTGATTAGTTTGCATCCATTGTTTTTTGTCTTGCCTTTTGGTGCTTTGGAAAATAGATTGACCCCCTCTTCTTTGTGGTGGTCAAATATTGGAACATTGCTATCACGTCCTTTTCTCTAGAATAGAGCTACCCAATTCCTGCAGCTGTTCTTCATATTTAGTCTCCGGTCCCTTAATCATCTTAGTTGGTCTTGTCTGCACTCTTTCCACAATCTCAACATCTTTTTTATAATGTGACCAAAACTGGATGCAGTATTGTAAGTGTGGTTTTACTAAGGTTTTGTAAAGTGGTACTAATACTTCATATGGTATTCTTGATTCTATAATACTTCACATACTTCTTGATTCTATAAGCCCCTGACCACTCTACCAATACAGCACAACCAACACAAACCTTAGAAAGAATTACACTGTCATACATCAAGGATATCTCAGAAACTACCAACAGACTACTACAACCACATGGAATGAGCATAAGACAGAAGCCAAGTAAAGCCCTTCAAAATGTCCTAAGCAAACCAAAAGACCTAACAACCACAGAAGATAAAACAGGAGTCATCTACAACATACAGTGTAAAAACTGCAACAACCACTATGTAGGATAAACAGGCAAAAGACTGGCAGAATGCATCCAAGAACACCTACTAGCAATTAGAAGACATGGTGAAAATTCTTTAATTTCATAAGATATAGACAGATTTAACCAATTGGGAAAAACATGACAATCCTAGACTAGGCCAAGTCCAAAAATGCCAGGGAATTTTTAGAAGCCTGGCACTCTGACAAATTAGCCATCAATAGACACATAGACATTAACAACATCTATGGACTGCAAAAGAGACAATCAACCAGCCCAAAAGGGAACAAAAAGACCCAAGCACCTCTCCACCAGCAATCAGCATCCAGATCAGCATAGGTTAAGATAGGTTAACATCAGACCAACAATCAAGTAAACAATACCCCAGACAAGAAACTGCCAAAGAGCCAACAATAAACAGCCCAATCAAAAATCTCTAAGACCATCCCCGCCAACATTGACAGACAAGCCACCAGAATGTAAACTGGCAGCAAATGGCACTCTTTACTAGTACTGTTGATGTTACCTAGTTTGGGTAATGAAACGTCTGCAAGAAAACAAGCAAGCTCAGAGAGCACCAAGTATCCCTCATTTCAACTCTGAGCTACAAATATTCTCCTTTATTGATTCTATCCCTCTGTTTATGCAACCAAGGATTGCATTAGCTTTTTTTGGCGGCGGCTGCACACTGTTCGCTCATTTAAGTGATTGTCCACTAGCTTTCCAAGATCCCTCTCACAGTTACTGCTTTTGAGCCAGATTTCACCTAATCTGTACTTGTACATTTGGTTTTTCTTACCTTAAGTATAAAACCTTACTTTTCTCTACATTAAATTTCAGTTTAGTCCCCCATTACTACTGTGAAAAGGGGATCAGTTATTCTTTTATTGCTTTTTTCCCTGTGAGGAAGCCAGACTGTTTTCAATGCTGAAGAAAAATCATTCTTCAAACATTTAAAACCTTGCTTGTGAAATCTGCATAAGATTCCCTGTACTTCCACTGCACATATACGTGATCATTTTCAGTTGATAATCTTATAAACAGCAGGGCGTAGAATAATAAAAATATTGTGCATGAGAAAGAGTATAGAAGTGAATGTGTATTACTATAAGGAACATGGCAGAGGTTTAAAAAAACTTAGGGATAAGTATATTATGCTCATTTAGTTTGAATTATCAGTTTATTAGAATAGGGATCATAGGCTAATTTAAGATTAACTCATGACTTGTGTCATTTTGAATAATAGCTTTAGAATCTATTTCTCACTGAAGCAGTAAACATCTGTGTAGGTTTCCCTGTCCAATCATGTCCAATTAGGACATGGTACTAATCTGTGTTTCTTGGCTGAGGGAGCCAGCATTGTCTGAAGACATTTTCCATAGTCGTGTAACCAACATGGCTATATGCCAAAGATGTATGGAACTCTGTTACCTTCCCACTGAAATGGTACCTATTAATCCACTCGTGTTTGCATGCTTTTGAACTGTTTGGTGGGCAGGACATCTGTGTAGCCATTTACAAATTAGATTAAACTGAATTAATTGTTTTTCTTTAGCAGTACCTCCTTAAAATTTAATATCATAGAACACCAAGCAATGTTTGTTTCTATCTCTATCTTAATCAAATGTATAAGTGTCATCAATGCCGGGAATAAAATTTTAAAATCACCTTTATATTCAGCATATTGATTTGGGTTGTAATGAATGCTAAAAGACCTTCAGCATCTTTACATCTGAAAGTTCATATTCGTATGTTGAATAGTCATCCAAAACTCTTTTAGTGATTATTTTTTTCTTAATTATAGAGTGGGCATCTGAAGAGATAATGCCAACTTCTTTTTTCATTCATTAATAGGGTACTTGTTTGATAAGCAAAACTAAAGATATAAACCATCACAACAAAATATATCTTGGAATCAGCTTATTGGATACCTTAAGTCAGAGGTCCCCAACCTTTAGGGCACCAGGGACCGGTTCCATGGAGAAAGGTTTTTCCACGGACCAAAAAGTGCATGGTTTTGTGTGCTGTCTGCATCCCATGGATGGTGCTTGGCTTGTTTGTGCGAATCGGTTGCTGGCATGCCGCAGTCCAGGGGTTGGGGACCCCTGCCTTAAGTTATTTAAAAAATGCTCTTGTTTTATAGAACAAAGTTTGAAAACTTCTGTTTGTAGCTAGCATTCAGTCTGATAGGTCAGAGGTGTGCATTTGGCTTTTGGGTAACTTGCCAGACAAAAAGTACATGGGTGGTATGCTGATAAGGCAAGAACACAAAAGAAGGGGGGAGGGGGAAAACAAATTAAGAATTAATTCATTGACTATACTAGAATTAATAATTAATAATAAATTAATAGTAATTAATTTAGCCTGGAGACTAAAACATATGAAGAATGGCTGCAGGACTTGGGCTTGGCTAGTCTAAAGAAAAGACGAAATAGGGGTGACATGATAGCAGTATTCCAGCATTTGAGGGACTGACACAAAGAAGAGGGGGTCACATTATTCACCAAAGCATCAGAGGGAAGGACAAGAAACAATGGTTGGAAACTGATCAAAGAGAGAAGCAACCCTGGAATTAAGGAGGAACTTCCTGACAGTGAGGACAATTAACCAGTGGAACAGCTTGCCTCCAAAAATCGTGGACGCTCCATCACTGGAGATTTTTAAGAAGAGGTTAGACAGTCACTTGTCTGAGATGGTATAGGTTCTCCTGTTTGAGCAGGGGCTGGACTAGAAGACCTCCAAGGTCCCTTCCAGCTCTATTCTAATATAATATAATATAATTATGTCCCATATATTCAATAGTTTTCTGTTTTATCTCCCCCTCACACTCCCAATATTCATTGACAACTTTTGTATAACTTCTGCAGCCGAATGTAGCTGTAATTCAAACTCTAGATTGTAATGTAGTTCACCTCAGGTGCATGTTTATACCTCAGTGAAAAATAGCCCTGTACAGTATTCTTCAGGAACTATATACTGTATAGCTAATATGCAGCATTTGACTAGATTGAAAACTTAATGGCATATGTCATGCAATGATGTAGCAGGCTATTTTATTCCAGAGGCCACTTTCCTAGACATGGACAAAGTGAGAGTGATATGAAATAAGCAGAATAAAGGGAAAGATTGGACATGCAATATTTTGTAAAACTCATTTAACTATAGATAATTTAGAGGTTGTAAAAAGTCAATGTCAGGTTCCTATTATTAGTATTACTGATTGTTTCCAGTATTAGTAGTAATGATAAACTAAATTCTAATCTAAAGTATAATGTATTATGAAGGAGAAGAAAATAAGTATGTGTATGTATGTATGTAATTTAATTGTGGCTTAATAGAATCTCTTGTTCACTAGCTAGAGTTTTTGGGTAGATTGATGTCTATATACAATAAATAATAAACATATTTTATTATAATATTATATTAATTTTTTGACTTACCTTTCTAGAACTTGATGGCCCAACCAATTTGCAGCTTGTCAATGAGACACCTTCTACTGCACTAGTCACATGGAAGCCCCCGCGAGCTCATATTGCAGGATACCAACTTACTGTGCAGCCTACCACAGATGGTCATCCAAAGCAATACACTGTGGGGCCATCAGCCACCAAGTATCTGCTGAGGAATTTGCAGCCTGGCTCTGAGTATACTGTGTCTTTAGTGGCTGTTAAGGGTAACCAAAAGAGCAATCCAGAAATGGGAACCTTCACAACATGTAAGTGTGAAGTAGACATTGTTTGCCGCCTCCAAAAATGAGTCTCAGAACTACTTAACAGCTTAATAAAGAAAAAAAATGACCATGATTGGACATTTGAGATTTCATTAGCAAGGTGTTCAGATTAAATCTAATTTTGTATTATCACTGGATTTTTTCTAAATTGGGAAATTTATCAATGCCCAGGACTTAGCTTGAGAGGCAGCATAAGGTTGCAAAGTCTTTAAAGAAAACCACAGATTTCTTATTTGACTTCCTTTAATGTTAGCACCTTCCCTCCCATAGCCTAGGAAATGAAAAATAGGTTCAGGCTATAGGGAAAAAATGGAACAGACTTACTCTGCAACCCTGTAATTTCAGCACATAAATACGCCTGTAAAATATCTATTATTAGTTTTACTTAAAGGAAATAGTAAGTTTTATGGCATGTCTCTCAATCATGTATCTTAGTAAAAACGTATTTCTAGTTTTTTGGCAACACTTAAAAGCCATCAGAAAGGCATAAAAAAAGATTATAATTCCATTGTACCAGGAACAGCTTTGTTGCTTTATTTGGGGGAATTGTTTCTTTCTTTCTTATTGTACAAAGATGATTTGACTATCTTCAGTCATACTCGACAGATCTTGTATTTTTCCAGTGAAGTCATTTTCTTTAATGAGGTACAACTTAAAAGATCTATTTGAGGTCACATCCATTTTTAATTTTGATACTGCTTTGAGTGAAAACACAGATTGCTGCATAACTGTTAACTTAATAAACTGACCATGGCAGTATTGTGAACAGCAGCCTTTCAGAAACTCAGAAAATCTACTTTTCTTGCCATCCAGACGGGTGTCAGGATTTGTGCCTGATAAGCTGTTTTTTTTTTCTTGGTGGGTATACAGACCTAAGCAGACCCCCTAGTTAACTGCAGACAATTGATCAACAGTATGGCTAAATCAGAAGGAACCACTAGATCAGTGAATTAGCTATTATATACAAGTTGTGTTTGGCTGATAGATGTAAACATTTCCAATATAGAAAGGTTAGTTTATATCAGACTTGGCTTGAATCTGTTACTTGTTGTTTTCTGGCTTGTATGTGTTCCAAATTAAATGTTCCTGGTGACTAAGATCTAAGATGCACGCCCATTTATATTCCAAGGTCATTCTAGGCTGTGATTCATATGTGGTATCAAATATTAAAAATAAAAACTGAAGGAACTCTAAAATATTTTTTATCACAGTTGCTACATAGTAGACATGGATATGTAGAGATTTTTTAAAGTAGCTTTTGATTCCTAAGCTGCTATTTTGCTCAATTTCCTCTACGCTTGAAATAAATAATGAAAAGCATTTACAAATTAGAAATAACTAAAACGAAATATATATTAGAATTACTCCTAGATGTAAAATGTTGTATTGCAATGGATGGTCTCTAATTATCACAGTACTGTGGTGGAACCACCACTTGCAGGAGAGGAGGCTCCCATAGGGAAGGGTAAAAGACATTCCAGCTTAAAGTCCATTGGGGGAAGAAGCATTTGAGGTCAAACCCTTAGATTTTTAGGTTCCTTAGAATCTGCAGTTTCACAAGTAAAGGCAGTTAGTCTGGCAAGATTCTTATAAACTGGTGATCAACAATAAAGAAATCTCTTTGATCTATTCTTGGAGCTCTTCTGGTTTTTTGCACCAGACGAGACTAACGTAACTGATGATTAGTATGTGTAATGTACGATGATAAACATTTTTTAAATCTGTGGTTTTAAATGTTATTTACAATTTAATTCTGTTTAATTTTAAATTATCTTGCCAGCCACTTTAACATGCTTTTTAAGTAGGAAAGCAGACTATTAATAAATAATACATATATAAGCTGCTATCTCTAAACCTGGCTTTACATTTGATTTGACAGTGCAATCCATAGGCTCAATTCCTCCCTATAACACTGAAGTGACAGAGGCATCCATTGTTGTTACCTGGATACCTGCACCTAGACTTGGATTTAAGGTAGGAAAATAGGCTCTCGCTATCTCCACCCTACTGTTCATGAATTGCTTGCTCACAGCAATTTTGGATAACTTTGTTTGGGAAAGTGTTCTGGGTCTTTATTTAATTACACATAGCTAGTAATTGTTTAACAACACATAGTAGCTTTTGGTAAATTGATCAAAAGCTATACATACATTTAAATATTAATGTGATAGAGGAAGAGAATAATGTTCATAAAGCTCTCAGTCTTACTATTTCCTGATAAATTTTTAATAGCCAACCTGATTATTTATTATTTATTTTATTTATTGAATTTATATACCGCCCTATCTCCCTTACGGGACTCAGGGCGGTGAACAGGCAATAATAAAAACCACAATAAATATACACAAATTTCTGTCTAAAATCAAATTAAATAACAGGCCTGCTCTAAAAATACCCCATACAAAACCCCCACTAAAACATAATCAAACTATGCCAGGCCGGCCGCACGGAATAGATGAGCCTTCAGGGCTCGGCGAAAAAGGCACAGGTCCACAACTGTACATAGGTCGGGGGGTAGGTCATTCCAGAGGGCAGGAGGTGCCACAGAGAAGGCTCTCCCCCTGGGGGTCGCCAGCCGGCATTGTCTGGCCGACGGCACCCTAAGGAGGCCCTCTCTGTGGGAGCGGACTGGTCGAAGGGAGGTGTTTGGTAGGAGGCGGTCTTGCAAATACCTAGGTCCATTGCCACGGAGCGCTTTAAAGGTTGTTACTAACACCTTGAAGCGCACCCGGAAGGCC